TGAAATCGTAGCAATTGCTTTGAGAAAGAATTCGAAGCATTGTTCCTTCAGAAATTTTGTGGCAAAACAATGTATTCCTGCAGAAATTTCACCTCTCTTTCTTCTATTACTGGAAAATCCTCCAAACATAAAATTTAAAATTGAGTTTACAACAAAACTAATCATAATTTTTCTATAAAAGCCACTGGAGCTTGAAACACAACAAAAAGAACATATATGAAAATGGCAACACTGGGAACTGAATATTGTCATTTACATTGTTGTCTATATAATTGTTATGCATGTAGTTACTGGATTTTGGTGTATTCTGAACCTTTGGTGATTTCTATTAAGGTGATTGTGATAATACAGAAGTACCTATAAAAATACAGGAAAATTCATTTTTTTAGAGACTATTGGCAACAGTTCAGCAGATCCTAATAAAACTATAGCTCCTTTTTTGATTTATGGAACATTGAAAGTAGTACACACAATAAGTATTTTACAGTGAAAAATTGATAAATTCACACAATGCAATTATGAAAAACCAATTAGATCATTGATTGTTTCTCGCACACGCTTAGATTACTAACCGCTTGTTTCTTCGCAATACAGAAATGCATCAAATCCCTTTTTTTCCCAAAATTGCTGAAAACAAGTACCTTATTTTCTTTTCTTCATCTATTACATAAATACCTCATATTAAAATAATAATAATTATTATAAAAATAAATAGTGAATTCAATTTATTATTAGCCTAATGATATAAAACCAGATATTACACATGTAAAATTTGTTTTTTTTTTATTATAATTTTACATTTTTGTGCTCCACTATACAGATTATTATCATGCAAAAAATGCAATTAAATTTTAGCATTTTGTATCTGTTTAACACTGGCTGAAATGTTTTATTATTCTAGTTGATAATTAATTCAGCAATAAACAGTTTCCTCTCCCATTTTTTAATACAATCTTATTTTTGTGGCAAACTGCACACCATTGGCTGAAATTTTGGCAATTATTAAGCGGAATTCTAAATGACATGTTCATATACAATTGGTGCCAAATCACAGTACTTGGCCAGTTGACAAGAAAATACTTAAATAACTAAAAATATAGTTAATTTAACTTGCTGTTTTATTTTTTAGAAGGCTTGCTCAATTCCAAGGAATTTTTGATTTTAAATGTTTTAAAGATACATTTACAACATGTTTATGTGTTTGAGTTGGATATATTATACACTGTAAATTTATCACCTTCACTTTGATAGCCCAAAAAGTAATGATGTGTGGATGATTACTCTATGAAAAATGAAATGTTATTAACTTGATTTACAATTTTATTTTTATAAGCTGAAATCAACTTGATGGAATACCTACAGACAATGCTAAGCACACACATGGAAAAAAGAGATGATAAGTATTACAACATAAAATATATAAAGTACTGAAAGAAACTGAATGGTAATTTGAATAATTAAACTTAGCAATATTAAAAATTGCAGTAATAAAATTTAATATAGTTTCTATCAACCGAAGTAGTTCTGAATACAATTTTCAATTCCTTTTTAAATACTAGAATACTATGCAAGAAATGCTCTTGAATATGATGAAAAAGGATCTATACACTCTTAGTGCAAGTTTCATTAAATTTTTAGCAAAATGGCTTTCAAAGTGCTACTCCCACTGTTTAATAAAACACATAAAAATGTTACACTTTTCATGAACTAAATTTTTGTTAAAATAGCATTTCCCCCCTTAATGTCAGTAATCGTTTCCTTATACTATTCCATCTTCACAGAGTTTTCCATTTTACCAACATTTTAGTGATCTTCTCCAATCATTCTGCCGAAAGTCAATCATGGTTTAAAAATTCAAGATCAACTGATCAAAAGATGTGCGACTTTCTTTTTTTCAAAAGTCAAGCTTTCTTATCTTTTCAGCTACTAACCGGAGAACTTTTTAAGGTGATATAGTACATACAATTCAATTTAAAGTTTACAATTTTTTTTTAAAGAAAAAATACTTTTTTTTTGTTGGGACTGGATTTGTGTATGCATGCAAGAACATACATACATTTCTGAATCCAGTTTCAATAACAGAAAAGGAAAGCATTTCCACAAAAAACCCAGTAAATATACATACTATCAACAATGGTGATAATAGTTAAAACCTGATAACCCAATGAATTCACCTATTCGGAGGTAGCAACTATTCCTTTTACATTGCTTTTGGTATCTTATTATCAATTTAGCATTTTGTACTAACATGCTCATTGTTCGCCTTTGCATGTGTAATTTATTCTTCACTTATTTACTATTATTTTGTCTGATTTCCATGCTATCTTTTCGGAATTTTTTAACTATAAATAGATGAATAACTACTATGGATATTTATGAATATATACTAGTAGATAATCCACAGATGACTATGAATAGATAAATACTAATTTGTAACTATGAATAGTTTTATTGTATACAGAGATGTTCTTTGCTGAATGTTGCCCATGTATAGGTCATAATCATAGCCTCATTTAAAAAGGCCTTATTTTGAAGCACAAACATAGTATCTCTACAAACATTCAAAGACTCATAAAAAATCCTCTCTATTCAAACCGATAAAACATCTCGTAATGTCTGGGTTTTGCTTCATTTAAGACGCAGAGTAGGTGACGAAGTCGCATTCTCTAGGCTCCTGGTCATCTTCCTGTCCTGTGTGTATCACATTTAAAGATTTTAGGCATAGCTTTTATAGGCATAGCATTGGAAATGATGAGTAATTGAATTTTTTTGACATATTTTGGAAACGTGAGCAATTATTGAAGACTCAACATTGGAAGCACTTGTTGACAGGCGTCCGGGCTAAAAGGCCACATCTTGTGTAGAGCTTGTGGGAAAAATTCATTACTTTCCTGCCATAACATGGAAAATATCTATAGATGAGATGAAATCTTGTGAAAGTGCTATGAATGAGTCTTTGTATATGTTAGTTACTCCTCCAAAGTCGATACTTTGGTGCAGGGAGTGGAGCTACTGGTAAGCTTGTCCAATGGAAATCCTATGAAGGAAGTGCATCTACTTGCAAATCAGGCATTGGTGGGGGGGGCAGGGATATACTGAAATAAGCATAAGAGTAAATATAAAGTTAATTAAAATGTAATTTAAAGTAAAAAGATAATGGGATGGAATAATAGGTGGCCTAAATGTCTAATAAGTGAAAATAAAAAACAAAATAAGTGGGGAGATATTTAAAATTCATAATAATATTGGCAAAACACAGATTTTAACCACTTACGCTAAAACGGTGTGCCACGCACGTTGAGACGCTTTTGTCTTAAACCGCGAGCGACGTGAACACCACGTTGATAGGCATTTATCGCAAAAATGAAAATAACGTGGTGCACATGTCACCTTTTACGGAGATTGTTTATTTCTCGAGTTACAGCTCTGGATTGCACTCGCAGATGCGGAGCGCCGTAAATGAGACACTTTACCACTTGTTATATTGTAGCGCACGGCACTGCAACCATGAAGTTTAGTCGTAGCACAAGTGTTTAACTGAAGGTGAATTACAATTTACTTTAACAATTTCCATGCTGTGATTGAAAAGGACGTGCTTTGATTACATAGTTAAATTATTGATTTCATTAATTATTTCAAAAATAGAAACATTTTATCACATGGATCAGTAAACTCTTTCATTTTAGCATGTAAGCTTTGAAAACATTATTCGTAATTCTAATTTTGTTGATTCCAAAATTATTGTTGAAATCAGTGACATTCTGTACAAAACTTATAAATTCAGAATACTGATTTTGTTCCTGTGGAAAACTAGTTGCATTATTTGCACAAGAGCTTTGCTTAGGATTATTTACATTTGAAACATTCAGATTTTTGAGTATATTGCTAATATCAGATACATTAAATTGAATATTTGCCTTTACTGGCTGATTTTATGCAGCAGTAGCCGAACTAGGGAGTTGACCATTAGGTTTATTACTAGAGTGTTGAGCCTGATTTTTTGGCAGATCTGCGAAGGAGATTCCACTTTTTACAGTACTGCCTTTAATCTGCTGATTAATTTTATTTTTAGGGAACTTTTCTCATCCACGATATGACACAACATGATTCTTTAGGCAGTTGCAACACTTGGGTTCTTCTATTATTTTCTTGTTGGGACAATCCATTGTCTTGTGTTCTAAAGAACACTTTACACATCTTGGTTTAAAGAAGCAGTTCTCTGAAGAATGGCGCCACTTTTGACAATTATTGCAATATAGCATTGAGGCACCTGATTTTTGGATATGTACTTTTTCACAGTCACTGCAAACAGTAATAAATCAGATACATAGAAGATTTGGTCAGAGATATCATTTTTCATTATTTGCACGAGAAATAAAGGCATAGGGGCTTTCGTTCTGCATCTAGTCGGTTGAGTCACTTTACTTACGGTGAAACCTTTAGCTGCTAATGCACTGGCTATTTCATCAGTCTTAGTAGTGGAGGATAAAACCTCTAAAACTACTTTTATTGGTCTGGCATAATTTGCATTTATGACATAGTGTTCAATCTTTTTTGCCTGGAACAGAGCATTCAGTATTCTGTGTTCCCCAATGATTTTCCCGAGGAATTTGGCTTCAGTCTTAACTGATAAGTCTTTTAAGAATTTCTCATGCTTAAGTTTTCCCAGATTCACCATTATTGGGGGAATAGCCTGTGCTTGGCTGTTTGTCAGCTCCTGCTGCACTGTCTGTTGGCTGGGAGTAGCATTACTAACATTTTCCACATTAGCATCAATATTTTCGTTTAATAAATTAAATTTATTATTAGACTCAATATTCAGGGGTACTTTTTCAACTCTTTGCTGTTTTGCAGATTTAGTAGGGAGCTAAATCCCTCATCATCAACTTTACTAAGATTATTAGTTAATTTACATTTAGCCTTAGTATCACTATTTTTACTCTTTTCAGTAAGTACATTTTGGGGACCAATGCCTGAAGTACAAGGAAGATTACACTTACCTCTAACATCAGCAGCCTGGGCCTTGAGCGTTTGTAGAGCTTTGTGTAGTGGTTCAGTCATCGTGTCAGCATCCGTAACCGGTCGTAACTTATGGCATTCCATAATAGCAATCTGCATCGAGGTGATTTTAGCTTTCGAGTCACGGAGTAGGTTAATCCAATAATCAGTATCATTATTTTCAATAATAACTGTGGGTGTTAAACCAACACAGCTTTCCTTGACAGAAGGCGACTCCAAAGGGGCGCTATCCTCCATCTATAGAATCTCGTCGGCTTTGGACTTGTCTTCGTCGGAGAGCTCATGATGTGCAACCTTCACTCATAAGGATCAAGGACTGAATGAACAATTATTGAAGTGAATTAAGCAATGTAGATATGTGAATATTAAATGTTCCTTGGGTCGCAATTCTAATTGCAGTAGAGTTGTAAATACACAATAAAATATTATACTACAAATAAATATGAGAGGTTGCCAGATTTGGCGCGATTACGCTTCATTTAGCGACTGGCCAGTAATCTGCTTGATCATTCTCACACTTTCAGCTAGCAAGTCATAAAAACCGTCACTGAAATCACATCTTACCCTATTCTAAAGTTCAGCGAAGCTAGCATAAACAATGCGCTAGAAACGAGGAAAAAATTCTATACATATAAATAACTTCGGTAGGTTTCGCAACCAGATGAAATTCTGAATAAGTTTTGATATAAATAAAGATTAATTTCGTAATATTTCATCATTTAGTCAGGGTTTTAGGTAGCAGCTTATTTGAGAGAAATAAACGTAGTTAGAACATTTATTTTTAGTTTTCAGCGCAAAAGTAATTTTTAAAAATAAGATATACCTGTGCCACCTGAAGCCGTAGGTTGTTTGTATTCTTCATGAACTTTGGGGAATATATCAAAATTTTCTACATGCTTTAACTTTTGAATATTTCTTCTTAACATCTTTATTTTTTTAACTTAGTATACAGAATTCCTTTTCATTAAAATTTATGGGGTCAAAAAATAAGATTCATTACGCACGAAGGGAAAAAAAGAGTTTCAATGTATTTCGAAATAAATAATGTTCAATGCAGGAACACACGTACAAAAACATCAAGATTTTGTTACACGATTCAGACTTTATTTTCAGTTTCAGAAATGCTGACAGATTAAGAGCTGAGCGGTATTGATCCTGCTTCTCAATTATGCTTCGCTTTAAAAATTTTAGATTGGGAAATATTTCACTTGGTTGAAATTATTCAATGAACTAAAGGAGAATTTTATCTGGAATGTTTTATAATTTTATTTTGTTTGTATTTATATTTAAATTTCAGTTTTATAGTAGATTATTAATTTCCTCTTGAAATTTTGATTTCTTTGTTGGCGGCCAATTTCAAAAGTTTATAAACAGTGATTGAAAGAGCGGTTTTCTCGGATTCGTAGGTATAATTTGAAAGTGTTGTAAGTATTTTCGACAGTTAACTTATGTTGAATAAAATTATTTCACTTCCGAATTGCATGGCTTTCTTTTTAAAATTTTGATAAAGGATATTCTGTTAAGGTATTTACCTAAGTTATTGTTTATTAAGGCTTTATTCTTTTAAGTTATTAAATGTGTTTTCGTGTCAAAAGAATTTTTGCTAGTTTAGTTGTTGATGGGTTAATGCCAAATAAAATATTTCATTGATATATTAGATTAATATTTTAGTTGAAGGTTTTGTAGTAGAGGTTTTCTCGGGTTCGAATCGCAGCGAGAATCACAGGCTTCATGGGCACTTTCATGGTTTTTGTCGTAATGTCGGTATAAGCCAGCTGTACTGAGCAAGTCCTTGATGAAAGCATCCCTCCCCTTATACAGATAGCTGTCGAGTGCTTCGGTGTAATCCAGTGAACGAACCAAATAAGGCCAATCAAATCCCAGAGAACAGGTTGGTTACATGTGGATTTTCCCATTTTATTTACTTAAGAATGAATGAAAATCACAAAAAGATAAATGAGAGAAAGTTGCATGCATAATACAGTCAAAAGTCTTTAATCCGGACTCGTCGAGGCGATTACGGATTATCGATTTTTCCGGATTATAGATCATCAGTTTAAATCTGGTAAGATGGCATGCAGAAATTATAAAATTAAAAATATGAAACTGTAAGTTATAAAAAAATGAGCAGTTATGATCTAAAGGGTATCCAAATTTACAAAAAAAGAAGCTTAATATTTATTTGTTTACTTTATTAAACATTTCTTTCAACACGCGCATGCATAAAGCATACCTTACGAATAGACGAAATTAGAAAATTGCAACCAGAAAACTATTTGATTTGTATTCGTGGTATTTATAATGACGAGGAATTTGATTTAAATCATATCAAAGACAGAGTATATCGAAATGAAATACTACATTTAGTAAGGAATTATAAGCCGAATAAAATAAAAAATCTGCCCTGAAGATAACAATAGTGCTGACAGATCAACTTCCAGTTCATTGCGCGCCGCGACGTCCCCCCCCCGCAGAGCAGCGTGAAATTCATAAACAGATTTCGGAACGGTTAGTTAAACAAAGGATATGCCTTTATCCATTTTTTTCTAGCAATTCGTTTTTTTGTTTGATGGACGTCGAAACATACTTTCGTTTTCTAGATCCTTTGGGAGCTCCAGCATCGGAAATTCTATTTGACATAATCGAAAGTTCAAGCTTACTTTTATAAAATTGCTCTTACAGTCTGCAAAAAATAATAAGCCGGATCAAATTCGAAGATTAAGGAACAACGCAATCATCAACATTAACTGAAATAGATAATTAGATAATTTTAGCTTATACCGTCCATTATACATTAAACGTGCACGCAAAAACGTATTCTGCGCTTGCACAGACGCATATGCGCAGTGGTAAAGGTCTTGCGCGCACGCGTAAACACTTATGCGCATGCGCCAACGCTGCACATGTGCAGAAAGATTTTAGCTTTGAGGTCCGGATTATAGATCATTCCGGATTATGGGTGTCCGAATTAACGACTTTTGACTGTAGTAGAAGTTCGAACGAAGTTAACATTGCTGAACTGTTTTATGACCTCAGCAGCATGAAAGGCCAAAGTAACATCTTATTAGATTTAAGCCTCAAGTGTAAAGCAGGCCCTAAAAAAGTAGTTTTGCCTACTTTATAAAAGGAGCTTTAGAAACATTAAATCTCGAACAGGGTGCAAGATCGCTGAAATTTGAAACATAATATAAAAATATATGCATCTTTAGCAAATGTTATTAGCCAAGTGAAAAACATTTTTATTTATTTTATGGAGTTTATTATAACAAAAAAATGCCTATTGCTTACTCGAGGTTGACAAAGCAAGCTAAGATTAATTTTTAGAGTCATTAGGTTATTTTGATACTGGAGACGTGAAAAATGAGCAATGTCCTCCTCGGCACTTGAACCCGGACCTCTCGAAATATGTGCTGATTGGTGCTAACCATTACACCGTGAAGGCATGCTGGAAGAAGGGAAAAAATACCTTATATACTTGCCTTTTAAAGGGCGACAGGTGATTAGGAGACCCAATAGCTAAATCGCAGTGGTGAGGAATCACCATCCATCACCTTTTAGTTCGTGCATCACTATAGAGTCATTAGGTTATTTTTTGAAGCAGAAGACATGAAAAAATGTGCAGTGCTTTCGTCAAGACAGGAATCTGGATCTCTCGAAATACTCGAAAAGTCTGCTAACCGTTACACCACGAAGGCATGCAGAAAGGAGGGAGAAAATATCTTATAAGTTGCCTCAAAATATGAATGCCTTCGTGGAGGAATCCACCAGATGAAAGAGCAGTAAAATTACTAAACACTGGTAGTTCAACCTGGATTAAAATTCCAGACGAACATGAGAGATTTTGTTGCCTTCTTAATGTATAATATGAATGCGAGAGAGTTTCCCTTGGAAAGTCTTCCACGATAACATCTCTACGCATAGAGAGACAGCCCTCAAGTTATTTTTCTCAATTAATTAATGTCACCTTAGTCGAGGACATTTGGAGGGAAAGCGGTTTATAATCACGTTACACATGGGGGGGGGGAATCCTATGGAGCCTGTTTATTCGCTTGTGTTGAACCTATATTGAACTATCTGTTACCAAACGAAATCGTCAATAGTTTTATCTACATAACAACTGAGTGTAGCAATGTAATTAAATCCCATATTTACTGGCGTAAGGGAAGAAGCTTAAACGCCAGACGGTTTGTTTAATTAAGTATAATAGTACTATTTGCTGAAAAGTGATGTTTCGTGAAAGACTGACAGAACTGGCTCACATTCATGTTTTTAACGGGAAAACTACGAAAAGGATCATACAGATAGCTCATTCACCGGTATCTAAACCGAGTTGTTTTCAAATGAAAAATTCAGAGTTATATATTCAATGTTACATTCGTTGTGATCATCTGAGTGTAGTTTTTTTTTTTTTTTTTTTTTCAATTTTTGGCCCTTATAAAAAGGCCTTTAATAGACACATGCTCTATTAAATTCTGATTTTGTTTTCTGATGTAAGATTAGTAATTTTTTGTTTTGATTTTGCTATTATAGGAAGGTGCTTTCATTTAATTAACTATTGCTGTTTTTTTTTTAACTGTTTTTCTGAAATGACGTGTGATAAGCTTCAAAACAGTTTATGCAGAGTGCTACATCACATGCTTTACATATGACAGATGATCTGCGCTGCAAACCTTTTGCAGAACAAACAGCACATCTTCGTCTTTTCTTTTTATCAAAAGGGAAATGGGAGCATAGATACTTGCATTGTTTTTTTTTTTTTTTGACTTGATGGAGACAGCAGATGAGCTTGAAGATCAGAATAATGAATCAGCTCTCTAATGAAATTCATGCAAAAAACTTTGTAATTCTTTTCGATATTACCTATTTTGCTTAGAATGTACGCGTTTAGCACTGTTAGGTCAAGTAGATGAAAAAATAGTTTTTTCGTCCACTTCAGAGTTCTGCCAAAAGTATAACTATTGGCCATGTGATCACTTAAATCAACATAGCCCATATTTTTGTTGTAACATGTTATGATCTCGGGCTTTGTCTGCTCATGGGCTATAACCATTGGATTGTGTATATTTGACAGCATGAAAACGTCACGCTTATCTTTCTAGCGTAGAGCTGTCATCCCATTTGTGAAACGCACAGTGGTTTCTCCTCTATTAAATTTTCCTTTGCTTACATCCTTTGGGAAATGCTTCCTATTTGGACGAATAGTTCTACATGAATTAATTTTTATTTTCATTTAATAAATAAACGAAAAGTCTGGCGAGGAAAAGAAATTGTCCATAAATAAAATATGGCCTTTGTCTCTAATAGTGCCACTCATTTCTTTAACAACATTATAAGATGCTGAAAAGTTGGGATCCTTAGATTTATCTTTCCCAAGGTAAACTTCCATATCGTAGGTGTACCCTTCCTTATCAGCAATCTTGTATAATTTTATACCCCACTGCTTGCTTTTCTTTGGGATATACTGTCTAAATATTACTCGCCCTTTAAATTTGACAATAATTTCGTCTATCGCGAGTTCTTCTGCGGGGCTGTAAATCTGTTTATAAGCTGTTTTTAAATGGTCAAAAACTTTTTGAATTTTCCACAGTCTTGTCATAATTCATAATTTTATCGGGTTTTGCTTTATTGTTTTCAAAATGCAAGAATTTTAAAATCATTAAAAATCTGACTCTTGACATTACCTTACGAAAAATTGGTGTGTCAATTAAATTATCCGTGGACCAATAATCTCGAATGCTGTCCTTTTCAACATGTCCCATGAGTAAGACTAATCCAAAAAATTTCTTTAGCTCATCAGATGTAATTGGCATCCAGTCGGTTTCATGTTTTCTTTTTCCGTTTATATCTGGCCGCAACTCTAAGATTTGAGAAGCATATCAATTAGTTTCTATGGTTAACATTTTAAATAATTCATCTGAAAAGTATAACTTGAAAAAATCAACAGCAAGACGAATTCCCGAAAATTCAGTTTTTATGCCAGGTTTACCAGTAAAGGCCAATATGTTTGCTTTGTCATGCTCACTTGGCTGTCTCCATTCAAATAAATTATTAGCGTTGCTTTTGAAGTTATCAGCAACTTTATCTTCATTAAAAGATTGATTAAAACATATTTCTTCTGTATCTGAACAGTCTGAATCTGTATCAGCAAAAGTTTCCTCTTATAAATCTCTTAGCAATTTATTAATTTCGTCCTGACTAAGACCTTTGAAACAAGGTGCCATCATAAGAAGGAAATAAGAGCCCGAGTTACACAGAAATCACGAAAAAAGCTCTAATGATTGAAAGAGAGATAGCATCTGTTTTTTTCTCAAGCACATTGGCGCGAGACGAAACCTACTGTCTTCGCCAAAACCTAGCCAAAGAGATAAGAAGTGGGAAACATTACATAGCCAGAGGCTGCTCTGAA